AAACAGACATTCACATTTATATACATATATAGAAGAAGAAGATAGATAGATAGATATGTAGGTATTGTACGTCTGCTAATATTCAAGGTCAGACGTGTAGCAGAAAAGTTTCTTCACTCGCTTATTTTTTTCACACATTTAAATAAACAAATAAGATAAAAGTTTATTTGATTAAACAAGCTAAAATTCCATTGATAAAAAATTCTACAGAACGTTACGTATCTGTTGGTCAAATATAATTCTATATTTTTTTCTCAATTCTAATATGTTAAAATTCCTCTGTACCTCTTTGCATACATCAGATGCAGCCTCGTCAATTGGAGGTATAGATTTTAGTAATATACTAATACCCGGCGTTGGTGGCAGCAATACTTCCGGGCTGGCACCAGGTTATCGTCCCGCACCCAGCGGTATGGATTATTCTGAATCTGATGAATTTAATGTCAACTACGATGATGATCCAGCTGCTGTGCGTCAAATGTTTCTTTCAAATCCGGAATCCTTGTCATTACTGAAACAGAACAATCCAAGACTAGCCGACGCATTGCTCTCAGGAAATTTGGAAAACTTCGCAAAGGTATTACGCGAGCAAATCGATCTCAGAAAACAACGTCAAATGCAACGTTTACGCATGTTGAATGCTGATCCGTTCGATGAAGAGGCGCAACGTCTTATTGCTGAGGAGATTAAACAAAAAAATATTCAAGACAACATGGCAGCCGCCATTGAATATAATCCAGAAATTTTTGGCACTGTCACTATGCTGTAAGTTGCAACTGATGGTAGCACCTTTTTCTATATAAATTAGCCTATCTATATTTATTTTCAGCTACATAAACTGTAAAGTCAATGGTGTGCCGGTAAAAGCGTTCGTAGATTCAGGTGCACAAACTACAATAATGAGTGCAGGATGCGCTGAGCGCTGCAATGTGAATAGGCTAATCGATACTAGGTAAGAGTGTTAATATTGAATTCTAACCGCTTTGTATTTTTTACACCCTCTAATCAGCATGCAAGCTCAATTATATAAACTTAAGAACAAAAACATTTTTGCATCTTTTTCTACATTTTATTATAACGCTTTTATCAACTTGCAATGTTGTGTGTCCAGACCACCATTTATACTATAAATGTAGCAAAGCTATTTATGGCAAATTCTAGATATCAACCTAGTCTTGATATCAACCTCGTTGTAGGCATCATATCAATGAGATACAATTAGAAGACTCTATATGTCGCCCCGCCAGAAGAAGTTAAATATTGCGCCTAAATATATGTGGGATTAGGTCCTAGTACGGTAAGACGGCAACACCGACGCTAGTCCTTCACATAGGCAGGTAACCCTGCATACCGAACTTGACGAACTTAACGAACGCACGTCTAGACATGGCTGACCTAACTGCCATTATCGATACATACAGCAGAGTTCATTGTCGACCGTCGCCGCCATCGTTTGCCTGCCACCGCGATTAACATAAGTTTCACCAAACCAAAATTGTACTGCGTGTAATACATTTATAGAATTAAATAAAGTATAAAGTAAATGAGAATAAAACACTCGGTATCCTACATATATGCACTATTTACATACGGGGTTAGATCGTCGAAACACAACCACCAGACGTGGACGAGACAGAACTTCGTCTGCCTCGAGAGACTCGGACCACAATAGCCCAACTGCGCTCTGGTTACTGCAGCAGGTTGAACTCAAACCTCAGCAGATTAAGTGAAGATATTCCAAACGAATGCCCGGCATGCGGAGACTCGCCCCATCACTCACAGCATCTCTTCGTATGCCCTCGAAACCCCACCACGCTAACGCCCCTGTCCCTATGGACAGACCCCGTCGAGGCTGCACGCTTCCTAGGGCTGCCGTTAGTGGAGCTTGACTACCCCTTGACTTGCCGATCTGGGCGGGATTTTTGTAGCCGTCACAATAACAGCACGCCATTTCTTTAAATGAAATTAACTGCTGCTATATGTATGCATGTACATATGTATGTTTCTACTAAACGTGAGCAAACAACATTTTGTTTGCATTGTATTCTGTTCTCTTTTAACTACTAGTTGAATTATTTTATAACCTATTGCAAAATTTTATACAGACAGGACTAAAAATAGAAAATAAATAAAATAAAAATAAAAAATTTTATGTACGCTTTTATAAATGGACTAAAAATTAGAAAACAATATTTCTCAGTCCTATAGAATTTTTTTTGATAACTTTTGATTTTGAAATTTTAGCAAGTCATGCGTGGGGCGTATGTAATAGACCTGAATTGATATGAAGGGTAATATATGTATGAATATGGATATATGAATAACGACCGCTTGAAATCGATCTCAAATTTGTACTTTCTCTGTAGAAATTTTAGGTCTATGTTATGTAGTTTGACTATTGTCAATTAAATCTAATGCTTTGCATTGCATGCGCTTCACGTTCTTCGTTTTCAATCGCATAGTGGTTTATGACTTTTGCTAAAATTTGAAAATCAAAAGTTATCGAAACAAATTCTATGAGGCTGAGAAATATTATTTTGTAATTTTTAGTCCATTTATATTGTATATTAAAAAGTTTTATTTTATTTTATTTTTTTATTGTACCATGCTTGTAGATGGAATGGCGTTGCCAAGGGCGTTGGTACTCAGCGAATCATTGGCCGGATACACATGGTTCAATTGCAGATTGAAAGCGATCATCTAACCTCGAGCTTTTCAGTTCTGGAAAAGCAACCAATGGATATGCTACTCGGACTCGACATGTTGAAACGTCATCAGGTAATCTTACTTAATTTTATGGGCTGCCTAAGAATTTAATTTGCTAATCAAACCCCTTGTAATTGCTACAGAAATACAAAACACTTATTTGTTAAGTTAATTTCATAATATGTATTTAGAAATTCATCGTTATGTGTTTTCGCAGTGTAATATTGATTTGCAACGTAATGTGCTGCGTATAGGTACTACCGGTACCGAGACCCAATTCTTGCCCGAAAATGAACTGCCAGATTGCGCACGTCTTACTGGTAATTCTGAGGAGGAATTAAAACTATTGGAGAAATCAGCCAGCGAGGCAGAGTCGCGTGCTATACAGCAAGCGATTGAACAAAGCAAGCACGATGCAGGTACTTTATATTAGCTTTAATAAATAAAAAAAAACACCTAGTAACATTGCCATTACCATAGCATCAACTTCGAAGAGATCTCAAGGTGGTACATCTAATAGCGTATTATCGAATGATAGCTTCACTGAGAGTGATGTCGCCGATTTGGTTAGACTTGGTTATAATCGTGATGATGTGATTGCTGAATTGCGACGACATAACGGCAATAAAACGCAGGCGACAGCTGCGCTTATTGCTAAGTCGTTGAGATTTTGAGAAGACGTTGGCGTCGTCAGCACTGTCGCCGCCCTAAACCACTAGATCAGACACAAAAGATATAAAACGCAATATTAAAAAAAAAATGCAACGGATTAACCATGCCACTGTTTGCAATACATGTTTACATATATAAATCTTACATGTATGAATATGCGTAAAATTATCATTATCTGATAAAAGAAATGACATAAAACACGTGCAGTAGCAATATTTTGAGAGAAAGCGTCAGCTTCGGGAATGGATTAAGCCTACCACATCATACAAACTACCTCAGGCTAGAGCATTTCTTATTATATACACATGGAGTGGACAAATACTGCGATGGATTTGTGGGGGAAAGCCACCAGACTCGGATCAATTGAGAATAGCTACAAAAATATAAATAATTAATTGAACAAAACTGTTATCATTTAGATATTAAATTAAAATTTTGGGTGAATGCGAAATGTCAACGAAAAATATTGGTTTTTGAAGGACTTCAATACACTTTTTATAACATCGATTTTTTGGGTCTAGTTAAGTAACGAAACAGGTTTCCTGTAAAAATTTATGATGTATGTACGAAAGGGGTTTAACTTGCAAACGTAGCACGATATAAGAAAAGTAAAATGGAAAAACTTAATAAATAAAGAAAAAATAGGTGAAATTAGAACAAAATCAATCTTTCATTTCTTGTATCGTTTGAGTAAAGAAGAAGATGCTGAATATAGTAATGCAGCATCACTGCCCTAGACGCATGAAATCACATTTCCTGTATGGGGCCGAACTCCTCTGCGTATGTAATAATTACCACAATATTACAATATTGCTTCTATCTTGATGCGTTGTTGCTGATGCTCAACAGGAAATCTACTGAAATGATGCAGAAATCACGTAGTAAACATTTTTATAATGCAACTGCGATTTCAAACTTTCGCTCCTCGAACGCGTGATGAAGGCAGTATACCAAATTATCTCGAAGGAAGTGATGCTCTTTCATAAAAAGCGGCACTGTCGCATTTATTGCAACTCGAATACACCCTATTAAAATACAGCCTCATTGCGTAAGTCGTAAATTAGGGTAAATTGTACGACTCGACAACATTGGCATTTTTACTCTCGTAAACGACGAAAATCGTCGAAAACTATACAGTGCTTGGAAGTTCTTTCGTTTTAATACACTAGTCGCGTGGAAATTTTAGGCAATGACGTGAAATTTTCGAACCGAACCGAATTGAAATTCTCATATAAAAATTTAAGATTAGCATTAATTTCTTCATGATCCAATGATCGGATTTAAACCAAATTAGTATGGGACCATCTATGAGGTGAAACCTTTCCTTGACTTCAAAAAAAAAAGGAGGTTATCAGTTCGTCGGAATATTTTTTTTTTATGTATGTTACCGCATAACTTTGAACCACGTTAACCGATTTCGATAATTCTTTTTTCATCGGAAAGTGGTACGCCAGGTGTGGTTCCATACTAATTTTGTTTAGAACCGATAATTGGATCGTGAAGAAATTAACGATAATCTTATATTTTTATGAGAATTGAAGTCGGTTTTGATTTTTGCTTAAAAATTACTTGTAAGTTTCCTTAACTATGATTATATCAATTTTAGTAAACTAATTATGGCATACTTTTCCACTTTTTTGTTCTTCTATATTTTATCATGAAATTTTACTCCATAATTGCATAAATTATATACCTTTTTCGTGTCCAAAAAACGTGATATACATATAGGGATTCACAAGACGTCATAAGGTCCTTATTGTCCTAAAACCGTCAAATTTTTCAAAAACAGTTAAAATGGCCTAGGGATTTCAAAGGTCATAATAAATGCTAATTATATATTTTCTATCCCTTTAAAAATATTTGGTTGCAGTTACAAATAAAACCTATGTTAACCGCTATTTAACTTTACTTGACGATTTTAAGACTTTACAACGCTAAAGATGTATGATTAATCCTCTATTAGATTTATTTCAATTTCAATAGTTTTGATTGAATTCGTGGTTGCTTTTAAAAAAATTGTTTGTAATAAGCTCTGTTCCAGCGAGACTTGAGAATCTTTATATGTATATATAAATGATTCCACTAATCGGTTTTTAAACAGAATTTTACATAACGAATTCACATAACTTTCGATAACTACTCATCCTCCTCATCTTCTTCTTCATCTTCGTTGTCATTTTGTGCAGCTGCACGTTCGCCTCTGTGGTTGAACTCTTTTTCTGGATCGAATTGCATGCCTTCTTGGTCGCCATCCGCGTCTTCATCATCGTCACCACCAACTTCTTGATTTTCAGCTTCCGCACGCTCCAGGCGACGCGCCAAATCGGCTTCATCAATAGCTGTAACAAGTTTCGGAGGCATTATTACTTTGAATTCTCCTTCGGAATCAATAATCTTATTTCGAATGTTTTCAATAGCCGTTTCGAGAGCTTTCAATCCTTCAGCTTTTTTAGTTGTCGACGTTGTCATTACATATCTACATTGCAAACATTTTTTTTGTTAATTTGTTTTTGAATACATTTTTTTAATAATACCTACAATGGAGGTGCAATTAAATTAATACGAATTGGCAGCTCTTCTGTGCTTAAATCCAATCCTGTTCTTAATGCAGCCTTAACAGCATCAATACCCTCATAACCATAACACGAACATTCAATATCGGCGCGAATTTTCACCGTAGGGGAAACCAGTTTGCGCTTGATGTTATTCAGCAATACTTCCTTGGTGTGTTCATCCAAGCCGCATTCGTCGAACACAGAAGGTTCTGTAACAGATTGCTTGAAGATGTCGTACGCAACGGTCTTGCTGTTATATTTCTTTTCGAAATGCCAAGCTGTCTTCAAGTAGAGTTCTTCCAACTTTTCACTCGAATCATACTCTAGAATATCGGCCACATGTCGAAGTAAGGAGTTCACAGCCTTCGCTTTTGCGAAGCGCTCAGAGCACTTCTCTACATCCTCCGCCGAAACACGACGCTTCGACAAGTCAATGTAGCCCTTTTCTTTGTCTACACGTATCACCACAACCGGCTCTGTTTTGCCTACTCGAATCAATTTATTAATGGAACGAATACGACGGCGAGAAAGCTCCGACAGCAGAATCATTCCTTCAATATTGTTGTACTCCAGCAGATGTACGTAAGCGCCCATTTCAGCGATGGACAATACATTCACCATGACGACATCTTCGACCTCAGGATACTTTTCGCTATAAAAACGTGAAGTTAACGCCATTTTCGCGATATTTATTTGTCTTTTTAGTAATTTTTACACAAATTTGACCTAAAATTGTACGTAAGGCTCTTCTTCGGTGAAATTCACGGCAAAAACGTGTACACTTTTGGAACAATGGGCGTATGAAAGGAAAATGTCAAAAATGCCTCCAACAACGTATGATCAGTGTTGTCAGATTTTTAGTATGCTAATTTTATATATTTTCCCGTTTTTCATTTTAGGTGTTCCCCTTTTTATGTAACAAAGTTTTTAGAAATGGCAAATCGATTTTTTCCCCTTTTTTTATTTTTTATACGATCAGTAACCGTATTTTAACAATTCANCAATTTTATATATTTTCCGGTTTTTCATTTTAGGTGTTCCCCTTTTTATGTAACACAGTTTTTAGAAATGGCAAATCGATTTTTCTCCCCTTTTTTTATTTTTTATACGATCAGTAACCGTATTTTAACAATTCAGTCAATAACAATAACAATTCAATTTACATGTAATATTATGCAGCGTTTTTGCTGCATTTAAAATGCAACATTTAGCACTTTCGAACATATGTTTACGAAGAGCGTTAATGCTATCGCATTTAGCAAATGTACATTTACGCGAGTTTGAAATCGGATGCTTTTGACAAACAGCCGTGTTCAAGTCGCTTATTCAGACCCGTATCTATTACGAACAATTCTCACGCAGAAGATAGTGTTTAAAAAACCTACTAAAAAGGCAAAGATAATCTTTAAACCAAAAATTCAATACAAAAACTTGAATTGTTTTAACCATAACCGAAAATTTTTTTGTGTATATTTTCATTTCTCGGTGCTGTCAATTAAAATTTCCTCACTTAATTAGGAAAAAATAAAACAAACAGGGTTGATCACAAATTGATCCAGACTTTTACCAGCATCACATCGACGTTGAATTTGGGTAACTTTTCTTTATCCTAATAATGGAAAATAATACATGAAATCTCGATCGGCGATCACTGAAACGCAGCTAGCCACTGTATACACGAAAAAACAATGTTGCCACTTTTACTCATTAAACCATGTTCGAATCCATGAACCAAAAATACAAGATCACGTAAGAACGCGACGTTGTATTTGTAACTGGTTTTGAGAAAAAAGTTTGCGAAAGCGGGTTCGTCAGCTGAGCGTTTGTCTTTCGTTCATGGTTCGAATCGTGGAAATTTTGGAAGATCACAGGGTTGCTTTTAGCATTTAGATTCTTAGGGCCGGTTGTTCAATGTCTGATTAGCACAAATCGGAGGTAGAAGCTCCGGTTAAGAACAACTACTACTTTATCGATCACATGTTACATGCATGATGTCGAAATCGTCGTTAGTGTAGTGGTAGTGATCACCAGACATTGAACAACCGGCCCTATTCCCACAACACTGACAAAATTCATCATATGACTATTGTCACAATTACTGCGCCTAAAACACAATATAAACATTTGGGGTGTTCACAGTTCGTTCCAAATAGTGTCTCAAAATGTAGACGTCTACATTTTAAGACGTTTTCTAACCGTAAAATCTGTGGTGTTGTTGTTTCCCATACAAAATTGGAAAACGACGCCGTCTACATTTTGTCACACTCAAAGGTATGTTTTTTACGCGTCTACATTTTGCAACCTCGCAGCAGGGTTGCATTATGGCAATACTAATCACATTTTTTTTTATTTATTGGGGACGTTTTTTGTATTTGCATTTAATTTGAATGCAATTTCTGATGAAAAGAAACAAATCAAGGAAAAGAAATAACAAATATTAGGAATTGGTAATTAAGTTAAATAATTACAATTTTTCAGAAACAAAATCGAAAGGCGATATATAAAAAATGCACGCAAAGAGGAAATGTCTGGCAACACCAGCAAAGTTTTGAGACGATTTTGCGACGACTGCTAGAAAGGGGTGCTCACAGTTTGATGCTAAAGATGTCTCAAAATGTAGACGTCTACATTTTCAGACACAATTTGGAACGAACTGTGAACACCTCAATTGTTTCGCCGTTGTCACTTAGGGCCGGTTACTCAATGTCTGGTTAACACTAATCTCCGGTTAAACATAGTTATCGACGTTACCGACTCCCTGTTATATGCATGGAGTCGAAGTCGTCGATAACGATGTTTAACCGCAGATTAGTGTTAACCAGACATTGAGTAACCGGCCCTAACTCAGTAGGTCATAACAATAAGGGCCGGTTAAACATAGTTATCGACGTTACCGAATCCCTGTTGTATGCATGGAGTCGAAGACGTCGATAACGATGTTTAACCTCAGATTAGTGTTAACTAGTTATTGAGTAACCGGCCTTAAAACTGACAATTGTCATACGACAGCTTAAAATAAATTTGCGGCATAGAATTAGGCGCAGTAGTAAAGGCAATAGTCAGCCGCTGAGTTTTGTCAGTGGTGTGGGAATATTTAAGTATCTCGCGAAATGAGCGAAAAAATAAAGTATCTTCCGAAAATTTGCACAAACACGTATCACTTTTGAAGTATATGGACAGCAACACTGATCCTCAGCTCTCATGTGCGACGCGTTGAGAATTTTCTTTCTCAGCCGTACACAGTGTAAGCAGTGTTGCTGTTTGGATCCATATACTTCAATATTGATACGTAATTGTGCAAATTTTCGGAAGATACTTTATTTTTTCGCTCATTTCGCGAGATACTTAAATTTTTCGGGTAGTAAAAATTTTGATACATGACAAAGAGAAAAAATTTATGTACGTAGGAAGTGGCCGCTTTAGAGTTTTATCGAAAATATTGAAACGTTTTGGGGTCAAATAAGCTTAAAGAAAATTGTTTTAAATGAACTATATATAAAGAGCTGACTACATTTATTTTTAATTTACTTTACTTGCTCCTTAATTAGCTCTGCAGCTGCCGAGCGTATATTTTCAGATTTAAGCTTGATTCAATATGAAAAGAGAAATAGAATTGGATTACAAACTGTTGAGAATATGATGGGGCATATTAATAGTAAAAGTAAAGTGGACACTGGAGGTACTCTCAGCTTTTTGACATAATTTCCAACGAGCTTAACGTGGAATGTATCACAAAATTTGATAATTAACGTAAATGATCGGCAGCTAATAGTTTTAAACCATGTTCTGACTGACATCGAAACATGTTTTCGTTGCTAAAACTGGTTTTTGACCTAAAACTTGTATTTTCGTCCATGTAAAATCTTTCAAACGAAAACCAGTTTTCGCTGAAAACTGCTTGAAAACTCACGTTCCACTCACTCCAATCGGTGCCTTTACAAGTTTTTTTCGATTATTTATCGAAGTGGAAGTCATATTTTATCATCTTTAATACGCCATTTAGGTTTTATTGTTAATTGGCTGGCCAAAGTAAAATAAGAATAAAAGTAAAAGGTTGAAAATGAAAAGAAAATGAGGGAAAAGCATTTTGGTTTCGTTTTTGTGTAGCAAAACCGTTATCAGAGGATGTAAGAAATGTCAACGAAACCAGTCGAAAACCAGTTTTAACAACGAAAACATGTTTTCGATGTCGGTCAGAACATGGTAAAACTCGTTTTCAAAGTGTTTTCGTTGTCGGTAAGTATTAAGGGCCGGTTACTGGTCTGGTTACGGTCTGGTTAATACTAATCTCCGTTTAAACATCATTATCGACGTGTTCGGCTCCATGCATATAACATGGAGTCGATAACGATGTTTCACCGGAGATTAGTGTTAACCAGACATTGAGTAACCGGCCCTAAGTATGTACATGTATTTGAATTCAAGATTCTATAAAGTCAATACATAATATTTTTGTTCGTCGTACAAGATTAAAAACAATAATCTCTTTTTTTGATAGATTGTCACAATTTGTAAAATATTTTTCTTCATGTACATACATACATATGTATGTGTAAGAATTTGAATTACATGGTTTTTCGGTTATTGACAATTATAAAAAGCGAAGGTATGAAACCAAATAAAATTTTTTTAAGTTTTTTCTAACTTGATACTTTGATACTTAAATAAACATTTACATATTTTCAAGACGTCGCGGCAACACTGAAGGCCCGTCAACATTGAACTTTGGCGTTGCGTTGGCGTTGGCGTTGCTACAACAGTTGACTATGAATACATGAATTCAAATGCACCCGTCCACATAGCCAAAATTCGGCAACGCTCACGCCAATACAAAGAAAAAATATGGCCAACTCTCAACTTTTCGCTTGCGTTGCTCATCAGCTGTTGCAAATAAATAAAATTATGTGAAATACTTTTTCTTTTTAATCTAGTGCGGGCAAGAATTATCGTTTTTATGCAATTATTGATATGAAATATTAATTCATCTGTAGTATGTTAATTTAGTGACCCAAGCATTCGCTGCCAAGCGTTCATTGTAGCAAGCATACTTTTGACGTGCGTTCTGTCAAACCAACGCCAACGCGAAAGTTCTATGTGGACTGGGGCCTATTTCATAAAGCGATAGTGATAATTTTGTAACGACAGGCATTTTCCATGTTGTCAGTGACAATTCGACAGTTTTGTGGGTGTTTTGTTTCATCAAAAAATTTTCACCACCTCTTAAGTTCCATGAGAAATTCCATTGAAAAAGTGACAAGTTGTCATTGTCGGGATTCAAAATTGTCGTTGACAAAATTGTCGCCAGTCATATGAAATTTATATGTAAATTATATACAATATTTGCATTTGCATTATTTTAGTTTTAAGAAATATTCAAATTATTGAAAAGCTATGAAATGCGCGTAATTACCATATAAATAAATTTACAAAACTCTTCTGCGAAAGCTTTCCGACGGAGCTATTTGGTTTTGTCGTCATTGTCGCGACAATTTTGTCAGAGTGACAATTGTCAGCACAATTGTAGACAATATTCCGTATTATCACTGCCGCTTTCCAAAATATTTCACAGTTGCCTACAAACGTATATGAAACAGGAAAAATGTCGCCAACAATTCTGGCAGTGAAGTTTTATAGAAAATTCGACAATTGTCGCACCTTTCACTTTTATGAAATAGGCCCCTGGTCTTGAGTGTAAGATGCCAAAAGAAAAAAGTAATTTTCTGGCTGACGTTTGTAATTTCGACGCCATGTTATTTTCTTTGAAAGTAAGCAAAGAATATGAAGACGAAGCATAAAGACAAAAATGGAAGCAATT